CTTCTCTCACACCTCTAAGAAGCATTAACTTCAATTTCAAGGTTTTAAGCAGTATGTTCTAATGATCGAGCTCCTCTTCCTAACCATTTTCTTCTAGAGTCGATATAAGTGGACGTGCCCAAGATTGTACAGCCAACAAACCTGGTGTACACTACCCAGAAACGTTGAATGCGTATTTGGGCATAAGTTGGACCAGTGCTAATATGCGACAATTCTACAGTATAGCGCATTTTCCGCCACTCATAAGATACTATCTGTAAACTTCTGCTGAGCTTTACACAACAAATCAACATTATTTGAAGATAATAGTTGTTGTAACAGTCTCAAACTGGTTAAGCGTTAGAGCAACTTCCCCTTCATCTACTTCCTGAGATAAATGAAGCATATTTAGCTTGCAGACTTCAGGACCGCTGCTTCGGATTTGGCGCTCCTTTTTTAACTTCGATCTTCGCCCCCTACAACTAAATCCTGTGACATATTATTTTTCTAAAGGAGTAGCACCTATGCCAGTTGCGATCATTACAGGTACGGTTCCTAGCCTTCTCCGCTTTTTTACAGTTGTAACATCTAGTAGTGGTTAATAGATTTTTTGTTCTTCGCTATATCCCGTGATAAGGTCTTCGCGTTTTGATTAACTTATAGTACCATGTAGAGGATATATTTAATACTTCAATCTGAGATTTCAAGTTTCATTACCAAATCAGTGTTGAGATAACGAATATTTAGGGAGAATTGGGAGAATGGGTTTAAAAAATGCAGAACTTACATCGTTCTTTCAATTTTCTTAGCCTATGAAATCACTATGTAAGTTGCAGGAGCAAGTTCTGGAATAGGACGTGCAGCCGCTGTGCTCTTCGCCAAGCACAAGTATCAACTTTCGCTCACAGGCCGGAACGAAGCAGCTTTGAGGGATGTTGCTAGGGAATGTGTGCAACAAGGAATTACAGAAAACGATGTAAGTTTTGCAGTTCAGGATATACTGCTTTCAAGCGCTCAGCTTTCGTAGGAAAGGTATGTATCGCCAACATTCATTAAAATCTCCACAAATAGAAGATGAGTTCTTCATCCTGTTGCTCTATTGTAACAACTTCAAATCGAACTGCATTGACTTCAATGTCACAAATAACCGAATACACCTTCTTCATCTTTATGCAAAGCAAATTTAGTTCGTCATTACTGCAACGGATTTGTCTACAGAAGGTGCTCCAAAAACAATCGTCTCCAATACACTTGGAAAATTCCAAAGGATTGATTCATTGGTAAGGGTATCTCTATACTTCATAAGGACTGCCGATACTTACAACGCTTATAAGCGCAATAAGCATCAGCCGATCGAGGGCGCGCGGCGGTTGCGTGGTGTCCCCCCCCCCCCCCCCCCCCCCCCCCCCCCCCCCCCCCCCCCCCCCCCCC